GTAATTAGGTATTGTTTTACGAAAATGGCAAACGAAGTGAAAAATTTAAAAAACTTGAGCTCCGCAGCAGTAGCTCGGTAAGTGCTTTATTTCTCCTATCATATACATATATTTATATTTTGGGATAATTGTTTTATTGTTTTTTGTAACTTGATGTTTAGCTTGTCGAATGATATGAAAGAAAAGTACTTTGAAAAACTACTTGAAAGCATGAATTCGGAAGACGAAGATAGCGCAGCTGACTTTACTATAGAGGATTCTGGATACAACAACTCCTTTGAAAATAATGTGATGATTAATGAAATTGACTCTGGCGCTGAAACACAAATTTATCCCGTTGAAATTGGACATGGAGGCGATTCTGATCTGGAGCTCAGCTCGGAGGAAGAAACCGATGGTGAAGAAAACGAGGGCGATGACTAGGAGGACGGAGAGCAAGAAGAAAATTTTTACGTCGGCAAAGATGGTACAAAATGGAGCAAGTTGCCCCCCAGGCATGCACCGAATAAGGAAACAAAATATTTTTCGTGAAGGTCGCTTTGTTGGTCCAAGCCCTGGCACAAAAAATTTAAGTGAGGTAGATACTTTCTTTTCGCTAATGCACCCGACCATACAGTCCATTATTTGCCGTAATACAAATAGAAAAGGCAAGGCTGCTTATCAAATGATTAAGGATCAAACAGGATCAACTAGTCAATGCCAACAGTAAGTGCACATTTTTTTCGAAATGTTAGAATACATTTACATATATTATGTGTATATCAATTTATCAATTTTAGAAAAAATGTTTGGAAAGATTTAGACGAAGAGGAATTGAGTGCGTTTTTTGGTATCCTGTTGATTATGGGCAGCCATAACTCAAACTGTGAGAACATAAAATTACTCTGGAAAACAAATGCTAATCCTTTGTATAGAGCAACTATGTCCTTGAAAAGGTTTTCGCACATATTACAATTTATACGTTTCGATCATGAAAACACTAGGGAAAATAGAATGCAAACAGATAAAGCAGCACCGATTTCAGAAATTTTCACCATGTTGAACGCTAATTTGCGGGATAATTACAGACCAAGAGAAAATCTCACAGTTGATGAGCAGCTCTTTCCCTTTCGAGGTCGTACTAAGTTCACACAATATATGCCATCAAAACCAGCGAAATACGGCATAAAGTTATGGTGGATATGTGACTCCCAAACCTATTATCCTCTGACTGCGCAAATATATACAGGAAAAAGTAACAATGTTAGAGAGATAAACCAAGGGGAGAGAGTTGTTAAAGACTTAGTTTCATACTACAAAAATTCTGGTCGCAACGTAACCTGTGATAACTTTTTTACATCTATTGCATTAGCGGACTCTTTAGCAAATTGGCAGATATCTTTGGTTGGCACGATGAAAAAAAATAAAGCCTGTCTACCAGCGGAGTTTAAAGCCTCATCACAGAGAGAGGAGCTGTCAACATTATTTGGTTTTGGAGAAAATAGAATGATTTGCTCATACGTACCCAAAAAGAATAAAGCGGTTGTTTTACTTTCAACATTGCCATTTGACCACACAATATCGGACATCAAGAAAAAACCGAATATTATTTTGTTTTATAACAAAACAAAAGGAGGTGTGGATACTATTGTCAGGAGGCCTCTTTAGTTTAGTTTAACAAATCGAATTTATTCAC